GCAGTTGAAGACTTGGAGAGATGAACTCATGGGCTGCCTCTCATATGGTGGAGATTATATGGGGGTTGGGCGATTCTAACACCAGAGAAAAGAGTTATCCCTACCCCCACTCAGATCTTCTGAAAAATGGTTGTTTAGAAAGTGAGGGAAATTCAAACTGTGTACATTTCTCTAGGAAGTTTCAGTAAATTACATTTGACTTTGAATAAACTCAGCCTAAGCTGCCATGTTCAGTCCAGCTTTTTAATCCAAAGTGAAATGCTAAACTCAAGACCAAGAAGCATCAGAAGCGATTTTAGACCAATCGTTCAAGAAGTGCCATTATTAAAACTATTTATATTGCCAAAATAAATCCATGTTTTTTCACCTGGAAAAGCCAACATTCCCATCATTGCTTCCCTGCCCTTCCTTTGCTTTTCCTCGAGCAGAAATGAAAAGCCCATCTTCATTCCCCTCTCTCCTCTTGATGCCAAAGAAACCATTTTAGTTTTGTTTTCTTGTTTCAAGAAAGCAACCAAACGTTAGACAGTACTGTGGTTTAATTCATTTTGAAAAACAAACTCACATGATTGATTCTTCAGGTCCCCTTACTTGAACCTGACACACTATGAAGTCCAAACAACTCTGCATAGTTACATTAAACGGGTTCTTGTGCTGCAAAGTCACTGGGTGCAGGTAGCAGTGAAACATTCCCAAGACAATCACTAGACATGCAAAATGCCAGCCAGAAGCATGGACCACTTTCAGGGGTCTTGCTGCAGGGAGCATGAGGCTGTATTTTTTGTGCACTGACAGCTGCATAGGGTAGGCCAGCTGTGTTCAAGGGAGCAAAAAACCCCCTCCCCATTCCTCTGAACCTCAAGGGGTGTCTTCCCAAAAGAAGCGTCTTTTCCAATCTTTAAACTTCAGAGTGTTGCTCCTTGGAGAGTCAAAGTCAAGCCACCGTGAGCATGAAAGCTGGCTGTCCCCTCCCTCCCCATTCCCCAGCATGGAGAGAACAACTGTCATTCACCCCATGAATCCAAAAGAATCCCCCCATCCCTGGGTTTAAGCATGGATGCAGGCCAAGCAAGCCTTAGATACCCAGGACTGTTGGATTGTAGCTATGTTGGTGTACCCCATGTACAAGGTGGAAAAGTGCTTTTGTTTCTCTACCTGATCCAGCTGGGGAAGGGGGGTTTGGGGGCTGCCTGCCTAATGGCCCTTAGCCCATGTGCTTATATTCGGATCGGTCCCTAGGGATCTGCACCTGGTTGGCAGTCATTTTGTGGTGGATGTGGTAAATCGCCAGTGTAACCACAATGACGAGGCCCAAGATGAGCCCCAAAATCAGGGGCAAGGTTTCCTCCAACTGCTCCCGCTCGTCCACTGGGCATTTATGCTCTGAAATGGGAAAGAAGAAGAAAAGCAGTGAGCTCCTGTCAAAATATTCTAAATCATAAGTCTTCCTATCAAAACTAAAAGGGAGATGGAGACAAAAAGATTTCTCAAGGAAGCTTTGGGGAGACATTTTGGTTTTCAGAAATGATAATTCCCCAACCAACCCTAAGGCTGAACCTCTTAAAATTTCTGCATAATGTGAAATAAAAATACATCAATTAAATAGGGCAACATTTAGTTATCAGATTCCTGGCGGATGTCAACAAAACATCCAGATGATTTATTTAAATTTTCAGAGTTTTGGCATTAGACACAACCACTACCATTTTTTTATCGTTAGTTTCATTTTTTAACTTTTTATTGAAGAAGAATGTCCACATACAGAATTGCACACAAATATACAGCTTTCAAAAAGAGCGAAAATACCAAGAGTCAGCAATGATACAGAACAATTAGAACTCTCATACATCATTGGTGGGAAATGGTGCAACCACTTTATAAACTGCTTAGTAGTTTCTAATAAAATAACACCTAGCTTACAACCCAGCTTTCCATTCCTAGGTATTTCCTTAAGAATAATGAAAACATAGACAGACTTGAATGTAAATGTTCACAGAGGCTTTATTCATAACAGCCTAAAACTGGAAACAACTAAAATGCCCATCAAAATGGAATGGATAAATAAACCGGTATATTCATACAATGGAATATTAACCAACAAATGAACTATGGCTACAGATAGCAAAATGGATGAATCTCAAAAACATTATGTTGAGTGAAAACTGTCAGACACGGAAGAGTACATATTATATGAGTCCATTTATATGACATTCAAGGACAGGTAAAACTAAGTCTATGGTGATTGAAATCAGAAAAGTGCTTGCATCTGGGGAACAGGACACAAGGGAACTTTCAGGTGTGATGGAAATATTCCATATCTTGATCTAAGTGAGGGTTACATGGTTGCAAGTATAGGTAAAAACGCACTGTGCCAAATACTTCAGATTTGTGCATTTTAATATATGTAAGTTAGACCACAACTTTTAAAAAGAAAGTGCAGAGCTTGATGAATTTTCACAAATGGACGCTTCCTATAACCAGTGCCTAGATCAAGAAAGAAAATGTTACCAGCACCTCTAGGTTGATTCCATCTTTACGCTTGTAAAATTTAAGACAGTTTAATTACGGTATGTCTCCATTTTTACGTAGAACTGAAAAACAATTTTGGGGAAGCCAGGTGATCAAGTACTTTGTTGAGCTGACCAGAACAGCACTCCTAGAAACCAGGATACATTTGCTCAGGCTCGTTGGCTCCTTGGGAGTAACTAGGGGCCTTTTCACCAAACTTAAGACCCACAACTGAAGAAAACAGGCTTTCGATATCTCTTCATAAGGACCAAGTTGTTGGGGTTTTTTTAGTGTGGAAGAATCGCGCTGAGCTAACATCCATTGCTAATCCTCCTCTTTTTTTGCTCGAGGAAGATTAGCCCTGAGCTAACATCTGTGCCAATCTTCTTCTACTTTGTATGTGAGATGCCTCCACAGCATGGCTGAAGAGTGGAGTGGCTGAAGAGTGACTGGGATCCGAACCTGCCAACCCTAGGCCACCAAAGTGGAGCACGTGAAACTTTAACCACTTGGCCACGGGGCCGGCCCCCCAAGGACCAAGTTTTTAAATCAAGATGACCCAGTAAACATTTATTGAGGACCTACAGTGTGCCAGGCTCCTCCAGAATCCCTGTTGACACAATCCTTCCTCTCACCTCACCTGAGACCAACAGAAAGGAGGATAAGACCTGAGTCCCAGGAGTCTTTTCTCTCTAATAATACAAATCTGGAGAATTGCAGGCAAATATCCAGCTTGTAAAAAGCTGGATACTTAAGGGGCTGGCTCCATGGCCGAGTGGTGAAGTTTGCGCGCTCCACTGCAGCAGCCCAGGGTTTGGATCCTGGGTGCGGACATGGCACTGCTCATCAGGTCACATTGAGGTGGCGTCCCACATCCCACATCTAGAAGGACCTACAACTAAGATATACAACTATGTATGGGGGGTTTGGGAAGATAAAGCAGAAAAAAAAAAAGGAGAAGATTGGCAACAGTTGTTAGCTCAGGTGCCAATCTTTAAAAAAAAAAAGCTGGATACTTAACACACCTGGTTCCTAAATTAACTTTCAGTTCTAAGCACAAGGACTGTCTCCTTTAATCCCCATAACAACCCCATGAGGTAAAGACTATTATTATACCCATTTTACATATAAGGTAACTGAGGAAGAAAGAGGCTAAATCATTTTCCAAAGGGCAAATGAAACCCCAATCTGAACACAAACAGCCTAATTCACCAGCATAGTGAGGCAGCATACAGCAGACAGGAGCCAGGGTTAGAGTAAGGTCCAGTCAGTAGCAGATCTGAGCTATTGGGCTTCAAACACTACAGAATCACAGGAGGGCAGGAAGGAGGGTTCTAGGCTCTCCATCTGCATCCAGCTGTGGAGTTATGTGCAGTTTCTGAAAATTCCGTGAGCTGGATACTTATGGCAAAGGGTTATGAGGATGCTTTTGGAGGTGATGGAAATGTTGATTTTCTTGATTGTGCTGATGGCTTCACAGGTGTATTCCTAAGTTGATATTTATCACACTGTACACTGAAATATGTGTAGTTTATTGTATTTCAATTATACCTGAATAAAACTGTTTAAAATAAATAAGTATACATATACACATCCCCCAACTGGAAAAAAAATTTTTTTAATAGATTTTTTTTTTTTTTGAGGAAGATTAGCTCTGAGCTAACATCTTCCGCCAATCCTCCTCTTTTTACTGAGGAAGACTGGCCCTCAGCTAACATCTGTTCCCATCTTCCTCTAGTTTATATGTGAGATGCCTGCCACAACATGGCTTGCCAAACGGTGTGTGGGTCCGCACCCCGGATCTGAAACAGTGAACCCTGGGCCACCGAAGCAGAATGTGTGAACTTAACCGCTGTGCCACTGGGCTGGTCCCTAGATAGATTTTTTTAAAAGATATTTTGGCAAAGGTTAGGGAAGTGTTAAGAACGTAGCACTACACTGAGGTGTTCTCACACAATCTGAAGGACTAAAAAAATTCACAGGGGACTTTTCCACTATTTGATTCAATTCTAACGAGTCTCACACTTTAAGTATCAGCCTGTGGTCCGATTTCCCCATCTCCCCAGGGAAGAGGTGCACCAGGGGCAGCTCTGGGCCCAGAATTCCACAGCCAGAGGTTTGGTTTTTGCCAGGATACCACACTGCCCCTGAAGAGAACAACAAATAGAAATGGGGTCTCCTGGGGTAGGGATTTTGTTAACAACAAAGATTACTTGTTTTCCTCAACACAACATACTGTTGCCTGCATAATTTTTTTAATTTAATAAATTTTTTTTTAAAGATTTTATTTTTTCCTTTTTCTCCCCAATGCCCCCCGTACATAGTTGTATATTCTTCGTTGTGGGTCCTTCTAGTTGTGGCATGTGGGACGCTGCCTCAGTGTGGTCTGATGAGCAATGCCATGTCAGCGCCCAGGATTCAAACCAACGAAACACTGGGCCACCTGCAGCGGAGCGCGCGAACTTAACCACTCGGCCACGGGGCCAGCCCCTTAATTTAATAAATTTTATTGTAACAATGGCTGATAGCATTATTTAAACTTCAGCTTTACATCCTTATATTTAGATTTCTGTGTAGACTACATCATGTTCTATGTAATGTTCTGTGTAAAGTCAATATAGATTACGGCATTTGCTTAATTTCCATGTACCAGCTGCAGACTCCTATGTTGATGTTCATAACAAACCCCTTTCATTCACACCTGAGTCTATGGTAATGAGGTGACTTTTGGAAAGCCCCTAAGTCACTAAGGATGGGGGCTAGTTGCCAGGGGAACTAACTATGTGATGAGAGGATTGGAACTTGCAGCCCCATCCCCCAGTTTCCAGGGATGGGAGAAGGGCTGGAGATAGAGCTCAATCACCAGTGGCCAGTGATTTCATCAATCATGCCTATGTAATGAAGCCTCCATAAAAACCCAAAGGAATGGGGAGTAGAGAGCTTCCGGTTGGTGAACACACAGAGATTGGGGAGGGTGGCGAGCACGGAGAGGGCATGGAAGCTCGTGCCCTTTCCTCCTACCTTGCCTCATGCATCTCTTCCATCTGACTGTTCCTGACTTATATACTTTTATAATAAACCAGCAAACCAGTAAGTAAAATCTTTCTCTGAGTTCTGCGAGCCTCCCTAGCAAATTAATAGAATCTGAGGAGGAGGTATGGGAACCTACGATCAATAGCCACGGAGTCAGAAGCACAGGCGACAACCTGGACTTGTGACTGGCATCTGAAGTGGGGAGTCAGGGCAGTCTTGCAGGACTGAGCTCTTAACTTGTGGGATCTGATGGTCTCTCGAAGTAGCTAGTGTCAGAATTGAGTTGAATTGTAAGACACTCAACTAGTGTTGTAGAATGGCTCAGTGGTCTGGGAAAAACAGCCACACGTCAGAATTGGTGTCCGAATCATAGTGCTGAAAGTATCATCCTTAAATGGATAATAACTTTAGTGTAGTTATGGGGCATAACATCTCATATCCCATCCTTTAAGGAAGATGAAGGAGAAAAGTGTGGTGTCTTTTAGCCAAAAAAAAGAAATTATGGTTAAAATACATTGTGGTTTACTTCTTTAGAAATTGTTTTTTATTGCCTTAGGGAAAAACCTGAACTAAACACACCACAGGAAGGGCTACATAGAAAGGGAGTATTCAACTATGTACTTGCCAAAAATATTCATGGGAAAATGAGGGGATTTCACAAATTATCGTGAAAAATACTGAATTTCCTCTCCTCACCCACCTCCATCCACTAAGTAGTCAAATAAAGAAGAAATCCTGACTCTGCTACTCCTTATCCACCATTCCAAAATCCTCAAAACGCGGTGAGCTAAAAGTACTTTGTGTCACTCATTTGGCAGCAAAACCTGTTTAGAACTAATGTCAGGCCACTCGTGATTCTCACTTATCCTACTTAGCAAGAAGACTCATGTGTTTCACGGCAGGAAACAGACACATTCATATGTTTGATTACAGGGGCTGCCCTGTTTCTTCTGGGGTCTTACATAATGCATGGACTATGCACTGTATTGTCTTCCTAACGTCTAAAATATTCTGAATTCCGAAGAGCATCTAGCCCCAAGAGTTTCAGATGACAGATTGCGAACCCGTGAAAGAAGGACTTGAATTCCCCTTTCAGGCTTAAGCCAATGTTTTCAAACTCTGCCTCCAACCCACAGGAAAAACAGTGCATTACATTATAACTCAGAACATATATACACACATAACCGAAACCAAAGTTTTACAAAGCAATTATTATCCTTACTTTGTGCATCTAATAATTTATACTCTATTTTCTTCCATGTAAAACAGTACTGGTCATGACCCACTAAAGTACAGGTTGTAATTTTTTTGTGCCAGTATGATGCAACTATGGACCCCTTTTCAAAATAATGCTTATGAATGCATACAAAGAAAATACATAAGATTCCAAAGGAAAAATATTACACTGAAATTCAGCTATGAAAATATTTTTAAATGATTTTTTAAATAATTTTAAATAATAGCAAAATATGTGCTTCTTTTTTAGTTCACATGTATGGCCATGATTGCAAATTAGTGAGAAGCGTAATTGTTACTTTGCAAGATCTGCACAAACTAATGGAAGATGAGAACATCTATGATTTCTACTGGTCACAAAGTGGGTATCACTAATACTACTGTGGGTGGTCACCTTCATTTATAATTGAAGGAAATGTTAAATATTAATTAGAAGCTAGTGAAAATAAAGGTATAAATTTTTCCCATTGAAATTTAAAGACCTCTGAATTCTATCCACAAACCCTATGGACTCCAGGGTTAAAATCCTGTGCAATAAACTGGTAATACAACCCATGGATTATAAAACAAGGAAAACCCTAATCTCTGCCTGGGAAAATAGCATCCCCTGGCTCAGCCCAGACTGCATCTGGCTTTGGATGCTTGGAGACCCCTAACTCCCTGTTTACCCCTACAGGATTTGGGGCCCCACATGCTTCTGCCCTGGCTGGACTCAGGCTTACAGAAAGCACAAAACAGAGGCCCAGAGTGGATGGCCTGTGGCTAGAAAAGGCAAAAACCAGGCTAGTCATTGGAAAGAACCAGATGAAGACAGATCAGACAACAGAGGGTTAATCTGTTGCCAGCTGCCAGTTGCCAACTAAGGTCCCCTCAACCATAAACTCAGTGCCCCTACTGAAATCTTGGTTCACCTTAGGTTCTGTTTTCTAGATGTGTGCTTTATTTTGTTTTGTTTGATGATCACCGCATTTCAAATTTGTATTTACTCCTTGAGGCATAGCATCTACAAGAACTCGTCATTGTACCCCAAATGAACAGCACTGAGATGGGCAATGGGCCAATAGGCAAGCTGTCTGCTTTCTCAAGCTCTACCAATGCCAGACTGTTCTGTTCACGGAGGAGGGCAAGCCTTTTGCTAGCTGACAGCGAAGCTAGAGGGAAGAGCCTGCCCATCTTTCCATATTTTCTCTGGGCTGGCTCTGGACTCCTGTAAACTCAGAAAAATGTAGTTTGTATCTGAGAAGCTGCTAAGATGAGTGGGCTTTGGAGACCTTTGGCTGGAGACAAGCAGATACTCTCACCAAGAGGTAAGCACTAGTAACCACACAACAACAAAAAGATAATAAAAGCAGTTATTGATTGATGATTGATGCCACAGTGCACCAGGAACACGGCTTGTGCAAGAAAGAGTTTTATCAACTCTTTCCCACTAGCCTGTAAGCTCCGCCAGGACAGGGAAGGTTCACATATGCTAGCACCTAGGTGCAGCAGACAGACCGTGTCCGACACCCTCAGCATCACCATTCCCACACAGTCCAACGGGTTTGACTACAAGGCAGGTTAGAAGTCCCAGCGTCCGCACCCCTCCCCCATCCCAGCAGCCAGCAATGGTGGATGGGAGCTGGCAGGTAAATGCCTCAGGTGGGATAACTCTGCTGTGGGTCCCAGAGGTTCCAGCGGGGTGAGCGCCAGGTGCCCACAGTGGTCACCTGCTCACTAATGCACTTGTACTGGCTGCCTTGCCTTCCTATCTCACTTCCCCACTCCCCTGCCAGTGCTCTCTAGAACCATCTCCTAAATAAATTACTTGCACTTGTGTACCTGCATAGGATCTGCTGCTCAGGGAACCCAACCTAAAACTCTACGTTCCAGGACAGTAGCAGGAACACAGAATTCTATGACTGGCTAGCTATGTGGCTACACTGGGGTTCCATATTCCAGCCCTCAATGCAGTTCTCAGCAGTGTTAATCCCAGGATTATCTCCCTCTGGATGCTTACCCAGGAGACCTTGAGGAGCAACTACCCTAGGTGACACGTTTCCTGGCTGGGAGGTACCAAGCAGATCACAGGTCTACACAATGCTCTGGATCAGCATCAAACCCTTCCTGCATTAGTGGCATGGCAGCCAGCCACAGGGCACTTTACTGGGCGTTGGTGCACAGGAAAAGGTAAAACACATCCATTCCACTAAAACACAAAGCGTTTCTCCCATAGATCTGGGTAAAAAGACAGATCAGGTGGCATCTCCCAATTATACTGTTGGGAAGAATAATAAAAAGCTCATGAATTCAGGGTACCTGACAACTTTCCTAAAGGTGCCTCCTGCATCCACGTGTTTATTATAGTTGCTCCGCAGGAGGAGCTGAGGCTCTGAGAGGCCAAGAGCACAGTGTCTGACACCCAAAGACAAGCTCTCCTGCCAATCCTGGCAGCCCCTGGGAGTGCAGCCTTTACCAGTTTCTCCACCACAGATGGGGATCTCAGCACCTTCTTCACAGGTTGGTTTGGTTGGTTGGTTTTTCCCCCTTGAGAATTAAAAAGGGACCAGCCTCTATGTGGTAACTTAAATGCCTATTAAACCTGAATCTTTAATAAAGGGGAACAGAGGCACCTTTCCTGTTCTATTATGCTTCTTCTGTCGCTATGCGTAAAAGTTGCCTTTAATTCAAATAATTAAAATACTCAGGCTGATTTGTTCTCTCCTAGTGATGCATCCCCCATCCCACCACTGCCAGAAATCTCCTGAGCCCCTCCAAGGACACACTACAAGGAATGAATTGTGGAAGGACAAGTTAATCAACCCCAACTGAGACAAAGGGGCGCCTCTGAATGGCAGGGCGGTAGTTGCCATACAAGTTGTGTTTGTTCCAGAAATGAGCCCAAGTGGCCTCTGCGGATTGGCCCCAGGTGGTTTAGTTCTTCACTGCAGGCTGAGACCTGTCAGCTTAAATGCCCCCAATGTCAAACTCAAATTTTTACACATCCAGTTATTTAAAAAACAGCCAAAACAAGCACTTTTTTTTTCTTTTTTTGCCATTTACAGGCTGCCTGCTTTGCATACCAAACCTCCCCCAAGAGCGGTTACCCATTGATAAGATGAGGCCGGACCCTCTGCTGCCCCTCAGAGCTCTCTGACCCACAGACTCCTCACCATGCAGCTGAGTGCATCACCTAGACACATAAGCCCCCTCCCTGCCAGGAGGTCCCTTGCCCTCCTCCCCTTCTGGATGGTGGTCCCCAAGCTGCCATAAGCCTCCCTTTGGACAGTCCCATGCTGTGAGGGGCTTCCCTCATCATGCAACCGTGTCCAAGTGCTGCCCAATAAAGCTTGTGTGTTACTGCCTTTCATGGTCATATCTTTTTCCTTGATCAGCTCAAAATTACTCAAACCCCTACAGAATTTCATGGACCAGCAGGATCACCAGGGAGCTTGCTAGAAATGGAGCATCTTGGGCCCTACTCCCAGACCTACTGAGCCAGACTCTGCATGTTAACAAGATCACCACATTTGCCCACTTTGCCGCTGATGATTCGTGTGCACATTGCAGTTGGAGAAGGGCTGGGCTCAGAGACTTTCCTTGGGGATCAGTGTAGTAGCTGAGCTCAATGCACAAAGGGATTTGTGTGATGAAGACGTCAGCCCCTGTGAGAGTCCACTAATCCATAGCACTGACCCTTCCTTGCTTTTCTCAGTCTCTTAAGCAGGCAGGTGTGAAACTGCAGACTTCCTTTACAAATCGAAACCCTTACGCTATGGGTCCTGTACACATATGAAACCGCATGTACATGCCCCTGAAGTGGGCGTGCAGATATATGACCAGATGCTGGCCCCCTACCCCGCCCCACGCAGGCATGCTCCACTCCACCCACACAGGCATCAGCAACACATCCAGAGCCTCCTGAGCTTCTATTCTGGGGAATGGGGGCCAAGTGCCAGGTCCCAAAAAGGTACCCCAAAAGAAATCATTCAGATTCCACCAAATCAAATAAAATGATCTCTTACAAAACACAGTAGGGGGCAGGTGCTGAGAAGCACAGACAGGAGGAGCCAGGAACAAAGGAACCCCTGCCACACAAAGGCACATCGATCCAGTGAGTGATTCTGAATGAGGCTTGCATCCTCCCATGTGTCAAGGCTTGAGCCCCAGGGCACCATACAGGAGGGAACATCCTAATTATTACCCGGAAAAGCCTGGGTAAGACAAGGGCAATTTGCTTGTGCTTAATATATCTGCATTTGGGAATTTATACGTGCTTACAAACTCTCTAAGCCTACCCAGCAATCGCTCCTATTTAGGATCTGGAAGTGGATAAAAAGTGCTTTCCAAACAAAAGATGTCATGCCATGAACTTTACTGATTTTTAGGAAAGAAGCTCTGGTCCCTCGGCAGGACTCATTTACTCTTGTGGTATATACAATTTTAAACATCTGTGAGATTTGATTTCTCAGTCTATAAACAATGGTAAGCAACAACTTAGAAATAACCCAGAGAAGGTTAGGTGAGGTTGTGGTAAGGAACTAGTAAAAAGCAGCAAGTATAGCACCAGTCATTCCAAGAAGCACAGAAGTGCCTACGAACTGCTGACCAGACGAAAACAAAGAGAGATTAGAGGCTATTCAAAGTACCATATAAACTCAAAAGCATCTACGGTAGGGACCTTGGGGACTGATACTACACAATCCAATATTTTAACAATGAATTCCTGGTCATCAATAATCATAAGCACAATTACATTGAATTATATTTAATATTTTCAGGTAAGAAAGACACTGTTACATTTTATAAATACTTCCACAATCAAACAGGTTTTTTTAAATGTTTAAAGTCTTGACACTTAGAGTTTAGTTTCAATTCAGTAGAAAATATATTAAAATGGAATAGCCCACCCTTCCACAAGAATAAGTAAGTGTGGCACTGCTTTACTAAACCTATTAAATTCTGATTTGCCTGGCATTGAAGCATCCAGTCCACAGCTTCAGTCTATCAGTTCAGCGGAAGTCAACTGGGCATCTGCTATGTGCCAAGCACTGTATTAGGTGCTAAAAACACAAAGATGAAAAAGAAGCAGGTCCTTCTCTCAAGGCCAGTTGAACTTAGGAATTCTCAAATGCCATCTGAATGATGGAGGGGGAAGGGCAGATTCTCTTCAGCACAGTTTGAGTAGCAGGGGCATTTTATGAAAGCTGGATTCCTTGGGAAATTATTTAATGATTTGTGTGTGACACAGACGGGGATTTCCTAATATCCTGCACATTTGAATAGTTGTATTCACCTGAGGATCCCCAGCCCCAAAGAAGGCATCCTTAAAGCCATCAGAATCTCTCCCCGTTTCTTAACCATAAGGAATAAACAGAATCTCAAACTGTCTTTAATGACTTCCTCCAGACAAGAAAGAGGAACAAATGAATTGAAGAGTTCACTCACCCTACATTTGCCCAATGTAAATTGTTGTTAGACTTGGAGAAATTGCAGAAATGTGGACTCCTCTCATTTCTACCCCTGCCGGGATGCAGAGAACCAAGAGAATGTGGACCCCCCGAGCCTGCCCAGGTGTATCCTGCCTGATCCCCTTTCAGGGGCTGGCACAGACTGAGAAGAAGATTCCTCTATACGCCAGAGGGAGCAGATTAGGGACCTTTGCCTCCCTGGATCCTTGTGGGTGTCCCTACAAGCAAAGGTGAGTGATGGATGGAAGCAGGTCTGCATGAGTTTTTCGCTCTCTGTGACCTGCGCGCACGCGCGTACACACACACACACACACACACACACACACAGACAAAACACACCTATTGCATTCTAGCCAAACAAAACTTAGACTCACGGTGGTAGATCCTACAGCTGAGAAGTGACTGAGAGAACATGGAGAAACTGAGGCCCACAGAAGAAAAGGCCATTCTCCAATCCATGGCTCTCTAGGTAACTACTTGAGATTTTTAGCTGCTTTTTCATTGGGAAATTTGCATCAAAATTATATAGATTTTTTCCAAGCTGACTTTCTTACCTCTGTCCCTATCAAGGTTCCTCTTTTGGCAAAGGGAGGGAGGAAGGGAAAGATGAAGAAAGAAAGGAAAGGAGGGAGGGAGTGAGGGAGGGAAAGAGGGAGAGGAAAGGAATGAAGTGAAGGAGGAAAGGAGAGAGGGAAGAAAAAAGAGCCGCTGAAGTTGATATGATTCAGTTTACTGCCTTTAGTCTCTGAAAAATATTACAGAAGGAGGCAGTGTCATGTCAGCCTAGAGAATAGGCTGAGACCCTAGCAGGGCCCCTTCCACATCCTTCCTGAGGTCAGCCTTCCCTACCCTCCTCCCCATTTCCTCCTCCCACCACCCCTACAACCTACCTTCACTGAAGACAAAATCAGAGATGATGTCAAAGGGCTGGATGTGGACTGCAGACAGGATCATGGTGACTGTCTTCTGCGGATCGCTGGAGGCTAGTGAAATGGTCTGCTGAGCTTGACACTCATAGGACTTCCCAGCTGGGGTGACCAAGGCAGAGAGGTGATGCGAGTTGGCTGTGTATTTCCTGGCTGCAGAGAAGGCCCAAAGCAATGGTTAGGCCCCTCTTGCTGGCAGAACCCTTCTTGCTCCTAACCTCGTGTGCCAGATAATTGACTCTTGCCTCTTAGCTCCAGACACCCCTCCCATCCTCTGTGCTGCCATGCCATGTTGCCTTGCTGGGGCTGGGGCTGGGGTTGTGCAAATGGCACCAAGTGGTGACAAAGGATAAATACACCCCTTATTTCACGAGCAGGGGCTCTTAAAGCATTAATCTGCTATTTCTTTTTGGAAGAGGAGAGTGATACCTAAAAACCAAACCCTTTTTACTATATAAAACCAAATGATGGAGATTCCAAAGACACAGAATGGCAACTTGGTTTTCCACATTTCACACTGGCCTGCAAAGATTAAAATGTCTTCTTCAACAAAGCCTTGCTGATGGCTGGTGCCGTGGGCAGACACCCTTGCACACAGAAATACCCTTTGGAGGTCTGCCTTCTTTTTCTTCTTTTCCGGCATATGTTTGTTTGTTTGTGTTTTCTTCTTTTTTTCCTTTTTTTGAGGGGAGGGGTCTAATTTAATAGGAGGAAATGCTTGAATATAAGTTTTGATGAAGAGAAAAAGATGCTCTTTTTACTGTGATGATAAAAAAAGGGGGGAAGAGAGAGATGACATATGTGTTCTCTTAAGTGCTCAATAAAAATCTTTTCTCACCCCAGGCGTCCAGGTGATTGAAGGCTTCATATGAGTAGATTAGACAATTTACTAAATTAATTAATTAAAATGTGGTCTTTGCTGGTGCCTGCAGATGTGAACATTGTCATTTGGGGGATGGATGTTTCTCTTGCCACGGTATTTTTGGAGGATGTGGGTGAGTGGTTGGAGAGATGGGCAGGAAAAGCTAATATATTAGGACACGGTTCAGGATCCACTCTGAGGTGGCTGCAGTCGATGACTGAAGAGCTCGGGTGAACCCTGTGCCATGCGCAAAAAGATACCGAAGGCTCTCAAATCCTGACGGAAAAGGCAAGTCACAACGCCCCCTTCAAGTTTTAGCGCATGAGAAGAAAAAGCAGGGGTGCAGAAAAACTAAAAATACAGCTTTGCCCTTCTCGGTGCTCCTTTAAAGAACAAATCATGAGGTCGTCCTGAAACAACTAGGGGAACACAGGTCCTCAGGAGACGTGTCATCCAGGATCGCGCCCTGGGTGATGGGCTGGTCCTTGGGCGCGAGGTTCCTTGCGCATTTTCAATGCCTGAAGTCCTGAGGACCCACGGGAGCTCCCGTTTCCTCTGCTCTCCCTTGGAGAGCAAGCCCAGGGTGGACTTGGCGTGGGAGCGCAAAACCCGGATTGGTTTCCGTAAAATTGCCGAATTTCCTGAGAAATCCGCCCTCTAGGCCTGTGCTGTGTGCAGTGCCCACGCCTTCCCAGGCCCCCTCCCCAGCCCTGCAGGCCTCTACTCACCAGCGACTGCGTCTTTAAAATGGGTCTTCTCAGAGGAGTCGTAAACAAACTGGACCTTGCTCAGCCGCCACGTCGCCTCCAGTCCCTTGGACGTGTTGTGACTTTCCTGCGGAGCGGGGGAGGCGCGCGTCAACCGCCTCCGCGGCTTCTGGGTGGGGAAACCGAGGGCCGGCCTCTGCCCACATCCACCCGGAGTCTGCGCCCCCTCTGCGCGCCCCGCTCGGCGTTACCTTTACAAACAGCATTTTGAGCGCGTACGCGCGATCCACCCAGAACACCTGCAGCTCCGACTCGTTGAGGCCACAGCGGCCCTTCACCTCAGCTCCCCGGGTTAGTGAGATATCGGCCTGTTCCGTGATCAGCTGGGAACACAGACGCCCCGCACCCCCTCAGCGCGCCCGGACCCAGTCCCGGCTATAAAGGGCGGCGCGTCCAAACTCCGGGTTGCACGCCTGGGCGCTCCTTTGCGCGCGCGCGCTCCCAGCTCCGGAAACATGCGATTAGATGCTCTACGTGCAGACCCCTCCGTTAGGGAAGCAGAGAGAAGGGGGTTTACTTTCAAAGCAGGCAGGGCGAGCAGAAGGCGTTGCAAGCCAGAACCCCCATGCAGCATTCCGGAGCAGCCTGCAGGGGCGTAGGGGGAAAGGCGGGCGACCCAGGTCTTCATAGGGCCTTGAGGGAGGGTGCCCTTCGCCCTTGGAGCCCTAGGAGCAAGCTGGGAGGGAAAAGGTTCCTTACATCGACATAATTGCTGGCCCAAACATCATAAGGGACAATAAATTTGGCTGCAAACTCTGCCATGAGACACGTCGTTCCATTTTCCCGCACCACAAATATATCCTTTTCAGGGTTAGTGGAAAGGCCTGAGAGATTTTCCACTTCTTGTTCTGCCATGATTCGAACCATTGTATCTGCGGGGAAAAAAAAAATCCTATCTGTTCGGGGCTCACTGAAGGCCACGCATCTCGGGCACAAGGGTGGAGAGATTGTGGTCTGCGGGCTTTGGGGTGACAAAGTTCCCTGCCAGCTGTTATGCGCTCTGAGAGCCATTTCTCTAACCTAACGCCAACAAATTCAACTCTGTTGCTGTCAATTTATAATAAACATTAAAACAGAAAAAAATTGTAAAGCCTTACTAATTTGTACCCCAATTGTCCTTTTTCTTCTTCTTAGGCTTTTAAACCAAATCTTTCTTGCCAATATTCTGACCCCACGAAGCAGGCCCGTATAGCACTCTGTCTGGGACACGCCACACGGGTGTGTGGCTCTCTAGGGAATTCCCTGCCACTGGTGGGAAGGCCCTCCACAACCCTTTCTCCCTTCCCCCACCCGGAAAAGAAAAAAACCCGCGAAACATAGGGGCCACATTTTGACCTTAAGTACCACTTACTATGCTGATTCTATTGTCTGCAAAGAGTGCACCCTGCCCTCGCGATGGCCAAAACGCTACTCACGGAACAGCATCAGGAGAACCTGAAGTCTCTTGACGCTGAGAACGGCTCTTCCTCGGAGATCCATGCTCGCAGTGCAGCGAATGAGTCCAAATGTACTGCTGCAGAGGCCGCCCGAGAGGGAATCCCTCAAAGTCGCCGCTGGAGTGAGCCGGGGTGAGCGAGGGGCGGGAGCACCCAGAGGGAGGAGGGCAGCGCGTGTTCTGTGCCTGCTGGCGGGGACTTGGTGTCGGGTGCCGCACCGACCGATGCAGGCTGAACGCCAGTCGGCTCACTGCGGAGGAACGGACCGCGCCGTGAGGGAGCTGTCCACGGCAGCGAGTGCTGAAAGGATTCCGTTTTGTTGTAGGAGTGATAGTGGCTTGGCTTGTGCAGAGGGCCAATGAGATTTGAGGGGGCTAAAAATTCTTCCTAAGTCTGCTTCCTGTGCTGCAATTGCATCCGAAAAGATGATTCTGTCCTGAGAAACTTAATAGCACCCTCAGACTTATTCAATATCCCTACCAGGGACAGTTGTTAGGTAGTGGAGATATCACATCACTGGAGTTCTGGCTTCTGAAAATGTATCTGGTTCCTGAAAGAAAACGGTAGAGCACAAATTGTTTCTGCTTTAGGGGAGGAAGAGTAGGCGGGAATAGAGAAGGAGAATTCTATGGCAACAGTTTCCTGCGTTTGGAGACATCTCCTTCTCTCCCCTGCTCTTAATGAGCTCATGAGTTTAAAGTTAAATTGACGCCTCCTCAAAGGAGGTCCATTAGTCAATGCAGTATACCCATTCGGGCTTATTTTCTGTGAGTTCTTCTCTCTGATTGCATGAGGACTGTAAACTCTGGGGTCACATACTCTCACTCATTATATTGTGTCTACCAAGAGGAATGTAAGTGAACCTGAAGTTTGTGAGGGTTATCTAGGATCTCTTAGGACAGTAATGTTACATAGTTATGTAAACACACACACACACTGATATTACTCTACAGCCTCTAGTGGGACAGAAAAACAAATACTGCTTGGCTAATTCCTATATTTACATTTTTGGTAGCTTGCTTATTTTTTTTAAGTTTTTTTGCTCCATAAATCTGAATATAGCTCTTTCAGCAATAGGCATGCTGTCCCCATCAATTGTAGTGATGTCCAAATATTTCATTTCTTGGAGGATATTTCATTATGTGAATAATCAGTAATATAATGTCATAAAACCAACAATGTCATATTATGGGCAAGTTGCAAAATATTTTCACGTTCATTGTCAAATTTGATCCTCCCTACAACCTTAGATGGTAGACAAGGGAAGATATACTTTATTGTGGTTGTACAAATCCCAACACTGAAGCTCAGAGAAATTAAATGACCTTCCCAAATATCACATAGGTAGGTAGAATTAAAATAGAAAAATCACATGCTTGGACTTCGTAGGGATCATCTTTATTTTTCCTTATATAATACTTTGACTCCAAAATATATTATATTTTGATTTCCATAAAAATCTTCATTGAATGACCAAACAAGTGGAAACCTAAAATCTCTATCATTAATTCACGTTCCTGAAATGTAAAGAGTGTTGCTTTAAGTATCATAATAGTCTGACATAATATTTGCTAAAAACTGTCTATATAATTTTTCTTTCAAACCTATTCCTGTATTAATAATTAGATCAATAGCAATTCAAGTTATAAAGCAATATTTAAATTGACACTGCATTTTTACATCTTCATTTTTATCTCTGTATTTTTATATCTCACTCAAACATTTAAGAGCTTTACATAAGTGATTATATATAGAAGAATTGAGGCAAAACTGTGATTGATATAAAGTCAATTATTATCAGTTGTGAGTGGAAGTTGTAAAATTTATATGCCTTACAATTTGTT